GTAATGGGACAACGCTCTAACCAACTGGGCCACACTGGCCAGGCAAAATGAGTATATTTTCACTGTCTGTATAGCTGTGATATTAGAAACTACTTTGCCTTCAGAGATGTTCCAGAGGAGATCTCTTGATTCATGTAAATCCCCAAAGAACAGTAATATCACCAGGCCCATTATAATCGGTCCTGATTTCTTCTTTCAGCCACAATAGTGTTTTACGTGCTGCAAAGTCTGATCACTATATACGTTTTCTGTTCAGAGCTGACATACGGTATCACTGTGTAAATACCTAGTGAGACCCTGTGTATAAGATGTATTTAGAATTAGTCCGTGAAGGACTGAAAGGCTGACGGGGGCAGGTCGGTGTTACCGGCCCTCAGTAAACTCTCAAATAGAGCTTCTACCTCTACAGTTCCAAATTATTTACACCCCTTTCAGTTTAACACCTCGCCACACTTACGTCAGTTTTAGTGCATCCAAAATTTTTTCAGCTAATCTTGACGGTGTACATATGTAAACTCTATTTTTCTTGGCTTTTTACAAAAATACCTTCATTTTATTCATTCCACAAACCATTATACAAGCCTACTATGTGCCAGCTCCTGCCTCAACCTGTGGATGTGTTGGTCAGTAGCTCTACACCTCACGGAGCTCAGACACTAGACCCTCCGTCCATCTGCTTGCTCCGTCACCAGGCCAAGGGACAGGCCGAGGGGCCAGAGGCACACGTCATGTTCTCTGTGCCGCACATCAAATGTCATTTCATCCCATTCTCCTTCACAAAGCAGCGGGGACTCACTGACAGTAGACGAGGGTCCACTCTCAGGCTCTGCAACACACAGTCTTCATGACCCTGGAAAGTCCAGCCAAGGACTCACATTCTCTGCAGACTCCTTATTGCTCATGTAGGAGAGAGCGTGGGCACAGGGCACGGTCCAGGACTTCTGTGCGAATGTAAACAGGAGCTCCTACCACTACATCTCTCGTGTGGTTGGTTATTACGAAATGATACTTGAGTCTGAATGATGATTCCTGCCATTTGGGGGGAGGTTTTGGTAAAGAGACAAAAAGAAGCCAAAAGACATTGATTGCTCACTAGCTCTGACATTGACCCCACGGTTGCTGGAAAGTTGGGGGGCATCTTTTCTTTCTTTGTCTAATAGTTCAAAGCATGGGCCCTGGAGGCAAGCAGGCCAGACCTGCTTGGGGTTCTGGTTGCTCTGCCTGCTGGCTGTGGGCTCTTAGGCAACTGACTTCATGGTGCCAGCTCTGTCAGATTGGGGTGACAGTCACACATCCATAGGGGGCGGTCAGGATGAAACAGTATCAAGTGGTTTTTGATATTTAATAAGAAGATAGTGCCTGAAAAAATAAGCACAGTATAGTAATTAGCAGCTTTTATTATATTTTCATCTTAATTATTGCTATTATATTATTATTATTATTATTAGCCTAAGTGATATCCTCAGGTGTAGACCTTGTGCAGGTGTAACCTTGGTCTAGGGCAGCAATTTTCAGCCATGTGCTGCAAACTTTTTTTTTTTAAGATTTTATTTATTTATTTATCTTTAGAGGGGAAGGAGAGGGGGAGAGAAACGTCAATGTGTGGTTGCCTTTCGTGCATCCCCTGCTGGGAACTGGCCTGCAGGGAACCAGTCTGCAACCCAGGAATATGCCCTGACTGGGAATCGAACCGTGATCCTCTGGTTCGCAGGCCTGTGCTCAATCCACTGAGCTACACCAGCCAGGGCTTCGTGTGCTGCAAACTTTATAAAATCTGCAATACCTGACTATTTAGTCCAGGGCACTGACCTCTTGTCTCTTAGATTGTCAAACTAAAAGTGACAACAGCCAAAACAATTGCTGTCTGGTATGAATGAATCAAAATTATACGTATTTTTTGTCAGATCAACAAAAAATATATTTTTTGGTGTGCTGCAGAATTTTAGTAGTTTATATTTGCCGTGAAATGAAAAAGTTTGAACATCAACTGGTCTAGAGGCATGAACATACCTTTTGTAGAGGAGATTGCAAAACTCTTTAGAACTGTTTAGAATTATCCTTTCTCATGTTAGAAAAGCAGCTAAAAGCATTTTTTCTCTTAATAAACCTCAATATTCAGCATAGAACAATACAGAAATAAATAATAGGAAACTCGATTTAGTAGGTACAGGATGTCCAGAAGAAGTCAATTATTCAGATTACACAGTTGATATGGATGCATTATAAAGCATGCTGTTCTTTATCTTTTATTTCATCCTTTAATGATTTCTGACCGTTTTTGAAATACTCTTTGTGTCCCAATAGGTAAACCCATCTAATCACAGACTCCTGTTTGAAGTATTTGATGAAAACAGATTGGTAAGTGGCTCCCAGTTTTTGTTTTTGCTTCACTTAAAAAAAAAAAACTTAATATTTAAAGTGGCGTCTTTTAAAGCTGATTATGTTGTACTTCCGACAGTATACATCCCACGCCAGAGACTTTATTTTGGTTCCGTCACTAGCTCGTGATTCTAGCAAGTATTCCTGTATGGCTAGGACAGAACTTTTATTGGTGTATGTGTATTTTTTTGTTGCTAAATCACAGTTACAGGGAGTGATAGTCACACTGATGGTGTGTCGAACGCCATGTTTAGGTCTTCTGTTGAGAAAGCAGAGTAGTAGGCGGGCCTGTGAAGAGGAGGCCGTCCCTCATGCAGACACACCTTCCAGGGATTTTAAGTGTGAGTCTGTGGTGCCTCCTTTGGGGAAAACAAAAATCTAATTAACAGCAGATAGCAAAAAGCGAATCTATATTTAGCAGGTAAAATTAAGCTGTATTTTAAAAGTGGTACTTCCTCAAGGGAAATTAATAGAAAGTACCTTCAAAGAACCAAAGGTATGCCTGAGGCGTAAGACTGATATAAACTAGTATTTTACACAGAGATTGGCAGATAGGTACGATACCGATACCTGGCTATGTATACATTATATTTATAGACTTGGATGTAGTAAAACTAAGATTTCACTTGGGAAATGGAAGTTCAGAAGCAAACCTGGCGTGAAGCATTTTGCCAGTCCCCTGATTAAGATGTAAACATCAAGTACCCACGCGTGTCAGGTGCTCCGGCTGTGAAAACGGACTTCGTGTGCCGGCTTAAGTTACTCTCAGAAATGGTATTACAACTCAGTGCAGCCCATTGCCACTCAAATCTCCTTCCCATGAAATTGCGTGTATCATTAGGTTAAAATGAATGTTCATACGAACCTTTCTTGCTGAAGAACTCAACGGAAACTCCAAGTTGCTAAATAGCTTGAGGTTGGTAGATTCTTTGATCTGGAGGAGACTTAGAGTGCAGCTCAATCACCTAACCCCCCCTCCTTGACACTGAGAGAGGTGAGGTTTGGGGTGCTCGGTGACTTAGGCACAGCGGGTGGTCAGTGGCGATGCTTCAGTGGTCAGCAGCGATGCCTTGGAAGGAACCACGACTCTCCTAGTCTCAGGCCCGTGGCTGTGAATAGCCAGGCATTTCACACTGATTTCAGAATTTGGGAGTGTGTTTCATTTCCTCTGCTTGGTATTGTTCTCCAAATTAGAAAGCCAGCAGATTCAGGCCTACCACCAGATAGCTCTTCTGTTACAAACACTGGGGGTCCCCGTGGCTTTGCTTTGAACCCACCTGTTTTCACCTTGGGTGATACTTAGTTGTACCGCACCGCTCGCTCACATCTGCTCTGGGTACGCAGTTATTTTCTTGTTAAATCGCATGGGAAAGTCTTTCGGGGGTCCACTCTTGGCATCCCCGTCCCCACCCCCACGAAGCCAAGACTGTAAATTCGGCAGGGTTGGTGGAGTGTATTAAGTCCCGGTAGTCACTGATGCAGTCATGGCCTAATCCTCATTCTCTCCTTTACTGAGTACGGTGACATTTCTTTAAGGTGAAGGCAGGGCCAAGTGTGAGGGAAAATTCCCTCTTGCCAGATGTGCTTTAATTCATTACTTAATCTTCTCCTATTAAGAGAAATTCACTGCAGAAAATTCGTTTCCCATTCCTGTTATCCAACCCAGTGACTGTGGAGGTGCCCTTGCCACAGGCCCGGAACCACAGGAGCACGTCCAAACCCAGAAGGGGGTTGAGTGCAGGGCTCTAGGAACTCCCGTGCGAACACAGACTTCCCCTGAGAAAGGGGCCGTCTGCAGTGAACACTGCTGGTGGTGGTTTTCTCTTTGGCCATTAATCCAGCTAAGACAATGCATGACTGTAGGGGTGTTTGGCAGTTTTAGCCTTAAACAAACCAGCTTCCATTTTCCTCCCACACATCATTTTTGGCATTTAAAACACAGGCCTTTAGAAAACAGGTTTGCGTGTATGTAAACACGGTCAATTCCTCCACACCCTCAGCTCCAGAGCTGTTGACAAAGTCATGCTTTGCAAATTTTAAAATAAACTTTTTGTCCCTCTGTGCAGCTTGGTATTTTCCCCTCCTATTTTTCACTCCCTCCTAAATAAACCTCTTTGTTAAATAACCCGTGTTTCTGGGTCACAGAAAGCTGTCGCTTTAAAACACACAGAATACATCCAAGTTAACTACAAATCCGATGACACGTTTTTGAATGAGGACCTTTCCTTTTTTTCCCCCCCTTCGTTCCTCCTGGCCCTTTGCAAAACTAGCCAGATTCCATGTTTGCATCCCAGCTCTGTGAATATTGCTGAGTTCTCACTGGAAGGCAGTCACCTCCAGGCAGACTTTCCTCTGTATGGTGTTTGAATTAACTTACAACAAAAAGCACATGTACACCCTTCTGCAGTTTTTTGTGGGGAGGGGCAGTGCCTTATTGGGGTTGTTTTTTTTTTCTCTCTCTCTCTCTCTGTCTTCCTTGACATATGGGAGAAAATGTTTTCTCCAGCTGGGGTCCTTTTCTTCCCTCAGTGACAGTCACAGTCTGTCTGACATCAACTCACAGACACACGCCTTTTAAATGAAAAGTGCTGTCGCAGCAGCAGACAGACCGCTCACTGCCGGCATTATAAGTTGTCCTCCTTCCCCTTAGCTATTTTGTGACTTGTAGATCATGGTCTAATTATTCAGCGTTAAAGGGGCACTAATTCTGCAGGGCGTGCGACCATATTTATAGTACGTTTTATTCGTTCGCATTCCATCTGGGTGGTGTGGTGCGATCATAAATAACAGGACTGTAACCTCCGAGGCTCGGGAAAGGATTTTCCTAGGGCCACGGCATTTTTGCTCGTTGTCACTCAGCCGTGCGTGGAGGTGGGGAAATACCGCGTCTCACCCCGTGTGTTCTGTGCCAGCTCTCGCGTTGGTTCGAGGGCGCCCGGGCCCTGGCTCCGTGGAAAGAACTGACTTGTGAGCGCGATGCCGAGAGATTTATGGCAGCGTGGCTCGGAGCGTGTCTGCTGCCGCAGTCAGCTGCGAGAGCTCCCTGCTGGGGCCACTCCTGTCTGATGGAAAAAAGCAGCAGCTGGAAGGTGCTGTTTCAGGCTCTTGTGCTGCTTTAAAAAAAATGAGAGCGAGAGGGGGGAAAACTCCACTAAGTCCACAAGCTGGCATTGGAGGGGGGGACGGCGGTCATGTGGTCCTGGCCGCCCTACCCCCTGTCACAGTGCGGATGAGAGCTTTTTGCTCTTATCCAATCATGCCTGGAATGCCGCTTGCCACTTGGGTTATTTCTGCTATCTGTCGCTGTCGGTGCCGCAGTGCTAAAGGTTTGGCAGATGGGACGCTTTTCCTTGGAGTCTGTGTCTCCGGCTTTTGACTTCTGGCAGTGCCGGGCCGGCTGCTGCCGCTCGCCCTCTCCCTCCCTGCCCCCCTGGGCACCATGGCCCATCGGCTTCGGTTTCATTTTGGCTCCGGTCGCAGCAACACGGCCCCCGAGTCGGAGATCCTCGACCAGGAGCGAGAAGACGACTTTTTCATGGCATTCCACACCCTGCCGCGGCGGGGTGGCCCTCACCTCTTCGCCCAGCGCGCGGTGGAGGACGGCGGTGGCCTGCCGGAGGCGGTGGGCGCCCTCAAGCGCAGCTCGTCCATGTTCATCCCGCAGCTTCTGAGCCCCGTGGACGTGCGGCCCACCCGGAGCTCGTCGGTGCAGATCTCGCTGCAGCGCAAAGCCGCTGATGGCGCCCCGGATGCATGCGGGCCACCCGAGGCCCTGGACGGGGATAAGGGGTCAGTGTCTCTGGGCCACTGCCCAGAGCCCCCCGAGCCCCAGACCCCCGAGAGCTCACCTCCCAGGGCCACTAGGAGTGCAGGCCCCCTAGTCAATGGCACTTGTGGCCGCCGAATACGGGGCCCCGTCACTGCTGATGGCCGAGAAGAGGCTGAGCCTTTGGCCACCCAGGGACCTGAAGGTGGCGGGCTTCGGATCCAGCACCGAGCCTCCAGCGCCGACGTGCGCCAGGTGAGGCTGATGCCCTTCGGGGCCGACGGCCTGGGCAGCCCCTCGGCTCCCGAGCCCAGGCGCTGGTCCCTGCAGCACGTTCCAGATGCTTCTGGGAGTTCTGGGAAGAGGTGCTTTGTGTTCCAGCTGCAGCAGCCACCACCAGGCATGTCAGGTTTGGGCGGCGATTTCAACTTTGGGTTCACGGGCACGAAGGGGGACAGGTTGGTGCGGTACCCCCGTATCCGGCTGGAAAGGAGCACCTCGTACCCCACACAGCCCCGAGCAGAGCGCAGCAGCCCCACGGAGGAGCAGGGCCACCAGGGCCACCCAGAGACTCCACCTCGGGGCCGCAGGGTGGCCCCTGAAATCCGCAGGACGAACTCGATGGAAAGGACCCCGCAGGGTCAGGGCTGCACGTTTAAGATCAGGCAGGATCAAAACGCGGGTCAGCAGCATTTCAGAATCCTGGTGACTCGGGGGCCAGAGGAAGCTCTCCCGACGCCCCAGGAGAGTAACCCCACCAGCCCTGCTTCCCCCGTGGCGGGGGCCCCGGTAAGTTAGCTTGCGTTTCCGTGTGAGGGCCGGTGGGAAAGGAAAGAAAGCTTATTGTGCAGTGTAATTAAAATAGACTTCCTCCCGCCACCCTCGGGAGTTTCCCAGCCTCAGGCCAGTGGAACTTAATGGTTGGCAAAGTGGTGGGAGCTCTTCCGGAGCCCCAGTGTTTGGTGGAGCCCATGCAACTAGTTAGCATTTCAGAAAATATCTTCGCTTTAGGTCCTCGAAGTCAAACAGCTCTGTCTGTTTTGAAAATCCAAACACTCTCCCTCCTTTCCCCTCCTGCTGAATAAAAGCATCTCAACATTTTATTGCTTTAAATTAATCTTCCAGGGCCTCAACACATCGCCGCTGGAAATGCATTTAAAAGCTGCCTGCAAATATAGCCCGAGACCACGCTTCCCTTTAAAAATAGTTCTAATGCAGGCGAGAGAGTATCGCCAAAATCTCAAGAGGCGTCTCTTAATCAAGGGTATACAAAGTGTGACCAATTCTTCCTAGTGGCCTTTTTGCTGTGAAGGGTCGGCCCTTGTTATCATTTATCTTCTTTTCTGTTTTGTTTTGTTTATTTTTGTCCCATTAATCCTGAACAAGAGTGGGACAGTAAGCAGTGCATTTCTGAGGCAGACTGGCTGGTGGGCCGAGGCGAAACTGGCTGGAGCCTGGCTGCTGGTCAGACTGCGAGGCCTGCCGCTGCCTGTGTGAGAGTCCAAGCCGGGATGCTGTACACAGAGTAGTCAGTGCCCCATCTCCAGCTGCGGAAACAGATGCCTGAGGACAGATTTTGGCCCGTGTCGCTCCTGCGCACTCGCTCGCTCCCTGTCCGTGAAATGAGCGCAGAAAGACAGCTGCAGACCCCACCGGGCCAACGACGACTCTGCAGCTCGCTCAGTTTGTGGTGGGATGAAAACTTTCCTCAGTGAAGTTTCTGTTACTAGTAACCATTAGCCATTATGTGCTTTTATTAGAGAACAAACGCCTTTCAAAGAGTTGGAATTTTCCCCCCTGAATTTCATGCGATTACCGGTTTGAGGATGTGGTTATAAAATGCCTGGGGGACTTTGTGTGGGTTTTCATTGTGAACTGTAACATTTCAAAGTGGTTGGTTGGTTGGTTGGTTTTTTACTGTACAATTGTATCATCTTTTAATTCACTACTGTGTGGCGAGAGACATTTTTGGCCACTCACGTAATCTTTATCTATCGTTGTTTTTCGCCACTGTGAAGGGGTTATAAGATACTAAATGCAAATATTATTCTGGGTGTTAGGGATAACTATTTTTCTACTTATTCCTTCCATAGCACTTGCCGTTTATTATCTCGAGCGCCTTTATTAGGAAATGTCAGAGTGCTTTGTCTTGGTCTGGACTAATAGCATTTTTATACAGTGGCTCAGATTTCCATAGAATTTTGACATGATCAGAGCTTTTAACCTTCGCCCCCCCCCCCCCCCAGTGCCGTCCTCACTGTTGTGGGCAGTGCAGCTCCATGCAGGGCACAGGCCACTCCAGCAGGAAAGTGGACAAACTGAAGGCCTTTCCTAAAGTTGTGATGACTGTTTTATTACCAAAATCCTACATTATCTGTGCAGTGAGATATCAAGACAAATGGATTTATATAATTAATTAGAGTCTCATTTGGCTTGAAGTTTCTAATGTAATTAGAAAATACATAGAATATACTGAACCTTACATATTACCTTACATACAAGGGCTATTGAAACTTGCTTGCAGGGACTATTATAGTGGGAAACAAATTTCTTTAAATTTGGAAATTTAAGTTCTAGAATAAAGGGCTCTTTTTGGAGAATAAATTCTTTCAGCATACCGTAGTTTTCTTTTTCACAGGTATGTTTTTGAATCCATACATGAATTTGAAAGTGGTTGGTAAGAAGCTGGTTTTCTTTTAAGCAAAACCTTTTTCCCTTAAGAAGCAAAAACAAAGCTTTTCACTAAAACTCTCTGCTCCATTCAACACTTTGTACGTGTTTCACACGGGCATTCAGTGCCCGCAGCAGCTGCCACGGCCTTATTTATCTTGAGGGAAAACATTTCACTCCGGCGTCTGCAGTTCTGGCTGACACCGTGGTGTTTTGATGTTTCAAATATCTTCTGCTGTGGTCAGAAGCGCGTATCATTATTAGCGTACGCGAGAAATTCACCGAAACTTACTGCAGTCCGGTGTTTCAGTGAGGTCGGAAATCTCGTCTGGGAAAACCACTCAGGATTCCTTTGAACGAAAGTGCCCGTGTTGTGTAATCTAGGCCTCAGATCTTACTGCAAGGTTCATTTGTTGAGTACTTTTCTCCGTCTGTGCCTCCCGAACATCCTGCCATGAATAAATTTAAAAGGCAACGTGACTCCAAATAATGCTAACCAGCTAGATTCCTAGAAAAAAAGATGCATGGGAACAAACCCCTCGTGGTGACAGATTTCCCAGTCGGTCTGAAACCCTCAGGAAAGTGGAATTGAGTCTTACAGTCACCAGTTCTAACATTTAAGAGGTCTGCAGATGTCTCAGTTCAGCTTGTGGCATTGTTAATAGTTGGTGATTTTCCTAAAGTAGTTTTCGAGTTACTCGATCTGGTTGTGAGCGTCTGAAACCACGTTGGAGTTACTCCAAGGAAGCGGGATCACTGTTTACCAGCGTTCGAGCCGCCTCCTCCACGGTTTCCCTCACAGTCACTGGGAGGCTTCAGGAGCCACTTTAAATCCCATTAATGTTATTAAGTGTTTAAGGCCCAGTGTGTATATAACATCACACCAGGTACGTGGAGAGCTTCATAGACTTATCTGGGTTTCCTGCTGCCACAGAGATTTTATGGTGAACAGAGGGAGGAAGGCCCCTGGGAGCAGGGCGGGGGGCACAGCCTCACGTTCCCACACCCGCCACGCACACTGGCGGTGGAGGTGGTGGTCGTCTTTGCTTCCTGCGCAGGCGCTCTGAACTTCTCCCTGCACCTCTCGACGGACACGCCCTTCACAGAAGTAGTGTAGTATCTTGTGATTAAACATCCATTTTACTGAACGCAAAGGAATATCCAAACTGCTTTTTTAATTTTAGTGTGCCTCTTTTAGAAAAGGGTGGTTTTCCTATACGGAAAAAATTTGACATTAATTGGTGTCCCTTTCTTACCCTAAAAAGTAATTGTATGAATATACGTCTGAAGCACCTTCATTGAAAAACACAGCCACCATGTCATGGATAAGGAGAACAGCTAGCATTCCTTTACTGACTCGGTTTCTGATTGGATTCTGTAAAGTTTTTTCCCCCCTTGCATAGAGTAGTCATTTCTCTTACTGTGGTCATGTGTGAGAATGTTCCCGTATTATGTCCCAAAACTTCAACTGTTTTCAGGGATGCCTTGAAAAGCGTGGGCAGCGCACAGGAGCTGACACGGACGTGTGTTTTCACACCCAGACACAGGACTTGCAGTGAGAGCTCATGTTTCTGTCGCACCTCAGTGTCCGAAAAGTGCCTTCGTTTATTTCACGTAGTCTACGTTCACTCTCCAATTGCAGGGGCATCTTCTGGCTCGCCCTCCCTCCTGACGGCCATGTGACATCGAGGTCCTTTACTGTTTCAGTCCGTCATGACAACTGGTGTACTGGCATATCACTTCCTGTACCTGTCGTGGGAATTTTAAGACTGTGCACTTCTTTGCGCAATTAAAAAGTCTGTGTGGCCAAAGAAAGCACCCGAATGCTTCCTGCGACGTGACATTTCTGCTGAGAGTTTTGGTGGCAGTAACTGCAGCCGGTGCCTTGCCGCACTGGCCTGTGGGCAGGAAGAGGCACCTGTGGGGCCACAGAGCCGGGCTTGGCAGTCGCCTGTCGCGTCCTGGGGTCGCTAGTTGCCCTCTCCATGTGCACTCCCTTGTCAGTGAAAAGCGAAGGTGCAGTCGCCCTGCTCACGGGTTTGTGGTGAGGTGTCAGTGCAGACGGGCCTGATCGCTGTTTCGGTTGATGTTTTCCTGCTTAACTAAGTATCTAACTTACAGCCCTCTCTCTGAGGAAGGTCATGCAGTGTCCTGGGAACACGCAGCGTTTGATCAGCACGGCCTTAGACACAGGGCAGCAGGAATTTGAGGCATGCCCGGCAACATTTACTTTAATAACTAGCTGCGATGTCCCCCTGCTGTCATCTCATGGGTCCTGAGTGTGTGTCCCTTGGGTAATTGGCACCAAGGAACCCGAACATGCTTTTGTGATGGTGTGTAGCCGCTGAACTCTGCATTGCAGAAAAGGGCCTTTGCTGGTATTGGCTGTGTCGAGTTTCGAAACTTTGAAATGTTTAGCTGGTACTTCCCACATGTTACAATTTGACCACATCATTTTGCTATAGTGTTTCCAGGGGTTCCACTGACTTTTATTTCTTATAGGCTGAGGTGTCAGCAATCCTGTGTTACCCGTGCAAAATGCCCACACTGTGTGGTTTACACATGAGGGCAGGATTTGGGCAGAGGCTTTAGTAGGTACCTCCTGTGAGAGGATTTTCATAAATGCCCCAGCCGCTTCACTTGGCTAAGCCTGCAGGCAGAATTCCTAGGCATTGAAATAAATCTGTAATTTTATAATACATATTAATAAGTGTTATTGCTACATGAAAGTTCACAATACCAGAAGAAATTGACTCCATGTCAGGATTACCTTAAAATTTAATAAATGTTGGGTTTCTTTGTTAGAAGGTCATGGTTTAAAGCTACTTGAGGCTAATCTAAATGGTAACCTATTTGTGCACCTTGACATAACCAAGCAGATTTATTACTGCTGAGCTAGATTCCTGCCCTAAATACATTGGCCTGCTATAAAACTCTTAATGATACTTTCAAGACGTTTGCAGTAGTGAGGAAAGGGCAGGAAATTCACAGATGATGTTGAAATGGTTAATACCACAATATCTAAGTTTCCACCGTAAATGCCAAAAAGAAGCCCGGAGGACTCAATCCAGAATTGGCAGGTGAGTATCCTGTCTGTGATCATCCAGGTGCTTTGATTC